TGCAGCTCCTTCTGCGCCCGCGCAGGTTGGGGGAGAGCCGCACTATCTGGAGGTCCCAGTGGGCGCCATGGCCTCTTAGTTCTGGGGCCCGTTGTCATTTGTGGGTTTCTTTGCAGGATCCCCATGGAGCCAGGGGCTAGACAAAGTGCAGCATTTTGGAGGAAGTGAGTTCTCTGTCTCTGTGTCTCTCTCTGTCTCTCTCTCTCTGTCTCTCTCTCCTTGTGTCTCTCTCTCCCCCCGACCCCATGGGACTTAGGACACGCATTCTTCACATCCAGGAAGTGGCCTGTGCAGCTCTGGTGCCCCAAGCACTGACCTGCAGCCGCGCCCCCCCCTTGGCCAGGAAGCCCTGTGTCCACTTGTCAGGGCCTCGGCTCGCCTTCTCCGGGGTTGGGTCGGAAGCAGGCAGGGCAGGCTTTCCCCGCTGCAGGGGGACTGACCACGAAGCCACAGGGCAAAGGGGGGCCTTCTCCCTCCCGCTCCCCCAGCACTCAGCCCCTGGCTTTTCTCCTTCTGCAGGTGTGCACCCCTCGCTGAGTCCTGTGCAGGGAGGCAGGGCTGGGTCCCTGGTGGCAGCCTGGACCACCAGCCCGGGTGTTGGCAGGGGCAGGTTTGAGCTAGGCTGGGACGCGGGCTGTTCTGGCCTGAGCTGCTGCAGGCCCTGGGAGAGGGACTTGTGAGCTGCAAGGTCATCAGGATGTCCCCACCCCCACTCACTCACTCACCCACAGGGGCGGGGTTGGCTGCCCCAGCTCCCTCCCTCCACGGCTGCGAGTGGTTGTTTTTTTCTCCTTTTCTGTCTCAGCCTCTGGCCCAGAGGAGTTTGCTGCAGCATCAAGGCCACTGCATAGACAGCAGGGAGGGGGGGGGAGAGAGAGAGAGAGAGAGTGAGAGAGAGAGAGAGAGAGAGACTTGGGAGGAGGAAAGGAAGAAGCAGTCCTCCCTCCAGCTGCCAGTGCAGCTCCCTCTTCTCATCTGGGCGCCCTCCTGAGGGGTCCCCATCCAGTGAGCCCCTGAGAGTCACAGGAACCTGGGACCTGGGTTCCTGAAACAGCCCCGTGGGCCAGGCAAGAAGTGACCTCGGCTGGGTCACTGGGCTTCTGTGGAGATGACGCCTGCTGGTCCGGCTCCTGGCCACTGGCAAAGGCTCTGGAAGGAGGGCTGGGCCGCTGATGGACTGAGGCCCGACCAGGGAGGGTCCCTATCCTGACCTTGGGGGGGGAGCGTGATGCATGTTCACTTCTGAGGGCGGAGTGACCACTCAGTGCCTCTCACTGAGGGACGGGCAGCCAGGGTCCTCCCAGGTACCAGCTGGCCTGCCTTCCGCCTGGTGTGCTAGAGGGGCCGCCCCGTGTGCCAGAGGGGCCGGAGCGCACTCAGCAGTGCAGTCGTCCCTCCCTCCCCTCCCCCCCCTCCATCTGCAGAGCTGCCAAGGTGAGCGCAGGGCAGTGCCAGGTGTCCTGACCAGTGGACCGCTTGCTCCTGGGCCCAGCCCCCTTTTATTTTCAGTGATCCCAGAAGCCATTGGTGCGGACCTCAGCAGGCTTTTAGTTTCTTGTGCTTTTAAAGCCCTGTTTTTACCAGGAAATTGGGATCTCCCGTAAAGTGGAGGCAGCAGGACCGGTTTCCGGGCCCAGCAGTCTCTGTTGCATAGTGACGGTGACCCAGTGTCTGTCTGTCTCCGTCCCTCTCTCTCTCTCTCTCAGGGTGCCTTGAGGTTTAAGTCTGGAGATGTATGTACATGGGAATACTTTACAACTGGAAATGCTGCTCTTTATATACGTTGGCAAGGACAGGAAGTGGGCGTGGCCTCAGGCCCTGGGCTCCACCTGACTTATTTATTTTTATTTTTTAAATATATCTTTATTGATTTCAGAGAGGGAGAGGGAGTGAGAGAGAGAAACATCAATGATGAGAGAGTATCACTGATTGGCTGCCTCCTGCACTCCCCCTACTGGGGATCGAGCCTGCAACCTGGGCGTGTGCCCTGAATGGGAATCAAACTGTGACCTCCTGGTTCATAGGGCGGTGCTCAACCCCTGAGCACAGTCGGGCTAGTATATACCTTTTAGCAGCTCTGTATTTCTGTTCAGTTCTGTTCATGCCAGAGTATGGATTGTTCTATTATTAGGCATTTTGGTTGTTTCCGTTTTTGCCATTTTAAATAGTCCTTTGTGAGCTTTCAAAAAAAAGTTAAGATATAATTCACATGCCATAAAATTTACCCTCTTAGCCCTAGCGGGTTTGGCTCAGTGGATAGAGCATCTGACTGTGGACTGAAGGGTCCTGGGTTCAATTCCGGTCAAGGGCACATGCCTGGGTTGCGGGCTCCATCCCCAGTTGTGGGTGCGCAGGAGGAAGCTGATCAGTGATTCTCTCTCATCATTGATGTTTCTATCTCTCCCTCTCCCTTCCTCTCTGAAATCAATAAAAATGGATTTTTTAAAAAAATTTACCCTTTTAAAATGTACAATTCACTAGTTCTTAATATATTCACAGAGTTGTGCAACCACTGTCTAATTCTAGAACACCTATGAGCATTAAATGTATTTTTCCTCTAAGTATACTTCTGAAGTGGAATTGATAGGCCAAAGGAGGAAGTCTACTTTGTTATGACATCCCCCCAGACTTCTCCTGCCTTCCCTGGGATGCCACCCCTTGAGGTTTCAAGGGGCAGCGCAGCTGGGGGGCAAAGCGGTGGGTCTCTCCAGCTTGTGAGCGTGGACGAGCCCTGGACTCGGGCAGGATGGAAGCCAGTGTATGGCCTTCCTTCCATCGTCCATGCCACTGTGCTGTGTTCCATCCTGTTCACATCGATGGGCTTTGACCCTCACCTTTCAACCCAGGCAAGGATGCTGGGGGTCAATACAGGTCATTTTCAGAAAAAAACAGCCACCAAAGAACAGTCCACAACAGCTGGTGGCAACTAAAAAAACCCAGCTTGGTGGGCATCTTCAGGAGGCCTCGCCCCGCCCTTCCCTGCGCCTGGCCTTAGCTGCAGGCCTCCCCCCGAGAGGCACAGGTTCCGGTCACTGCACTTGAACTCGGAAAAGACAGAGCCAGCCAGGAAAGGATCAGAGCCTGCAATCTGTGGGCTGTGCTGCACGCGGCACCCCCTGAA